GGGAGGCAGGGGATGAGGACCTGATGCCGGGGGCTTAAGTGGAGAGCACATGTTTTGAGAATGATGAGGGCAATGAATGTACAAATGTGCTTTACACAATTGATGTATGTATGGACTGTGATGAGTCCTATGAGCCCCTAATAAAACGATTTTTTAAAAAAGTAAACACATAAAAATAATCCAAAAAAAACTCACGTAATAAATAGCTATACATTTCTTGCTTCAAAAAAAATGTTTTTTTTAAATAAAGAATTAGCCAGGAGATGAGAGTGGGAAAGTATAGAACAGACAGTCATTCACAGGCCAAATCTGTTAGAGATGGGGAACAAGGCAAACATTATTTCGTATAAGTGATTCTTTAGATAACTAAATTCCCTTGCCCCTCAAATGACAGCGAGGCACTTGGGTTGTGTACTGTGGTCACCTGTCCTGAGGGCCAAGTGGGTGAGCACTCAAGACTGCAGGGGGACTATGCGGGGACTAACATACACTTTGGATCAGGAGGTGAATGTCCACATGAATGAGGATTATGGTCCAGTGCTTCGGTAACATCTGCAGCAGTACCGAGGCGGCTGAAAAGAAACCCCTCTCTTTCATTGCTCCATGTATTTGAGAAGTTGAACACAAGAGGTTGAAGTAATTGCATAAGTAAAAAATGATACCTTAAGTAATGTTTTAAAGACATGCTACGGAATTTTCCGTTTGCTAAACTACCCCTCAAAACAATGCCACAGGTATATTGCTCACTTATCCTCAGATAGGCCGCTCCCATCATCCAACTCCACATTGGGAGAACACTTTCAAGCCTGTAAGATGTTTTAAAATTTACTAGTGCTTGACAGAACGAACTATCCTTTGAGGAAAGATTTTCCATCAGAAATCACCTGGAGCTGGAATAGATGACTTGCAACTGCAGTTTGCAACTACCTCTCCATGCATATTGTTGCTGCAGCTGCCCACTTGACCCTCTGCCATTGCCTTCTCTAGTTCTGCCAAGTGATGTTCAAGCACTGTGCTGGGTGCTCAAGGCAAGAATGCGAGAAACAGAGTGTCTGTGTTCGGATGGAATGAGTACACGGTCCTGTACGATCCTAAGAGGAAGTATAACCCCACACAGGGCAAGGATGGATGTTGTAGACAGCCCAATGGAAGTAACGGCTATATGAAAGAAGATTGGGAGATAAGGGTTTCGAGAAGGTAGACAGTCCTATAGCCACATTAAAGAATGCACTGTTGTACAGGTAATGGTTGTAATTGGAAGGCTTTAAATAAAACGAATAATTAGTAGATCAGGTGTTTTCAATAGAGCATTCTGGCAGTTGTGATGAGGAATATTAACAGAATAAGGCAGGGGTGTCAAACTGGCGGCCCGTGGCCTGCATGCAGCCCCCAAAGTATTTTTGGTGGCCTACAATGCTCTGAAATAAAATGAAAATAGAAAAAAATGTTATGAAGAAAATAGTGCTTAGGGGAGATTAAGGCAGTACCGTACACACGATTCCCTCATTATATTTTATTTCAGAAATAAAATGAAAATAGAAAAATTGTCATGAAGAAAATAGCGCTTAGGGAAGATGGAGGCAATACCGTACACACGATTCCCTCGTTACATTTTATTTCAGAGCATCATGGGCCACAAAAAATTACCTTGATCACATGTGGCCGGCAGGCCGCCAGTTTGACACCCCGGGAACAAGGTAAAGAGACCATTGTGTTTGAAGTCAAGGGTCAGCAAACAAGGGCAGCCCAGATTCCACTCCATTTTAGTGTGGTTAGTGCGCTAAGAATGGTTTTCACATTTTTAAATAGTTGAAAAAGAATAGTTGATGTAAAAACTACATGAAATTAGCAGCTCAGTGTATGTACATGAAGTTGTAGCACAGCTACACTGGTTTGCATGTTGTTTATGATACTTTCAGGCTATTGAGAGACCCTTAAAGCCTATTTACTCTCTGGTCCTTTCAAGAAAGGAGGAGAAAACAAACAAACAACTACTCCTGTTCTAACCAAGCTCACTGCCATCAGGTCTGATACCAACTCATAGCGACCCTATAGGACTGCCCCTGTGAGTGTCTGAGACTGTAACTTTATGGAGTAGAAAAGAAGCCCCAACTTTCGCCCACGGAGTGGCTGGTGGTTTCCATCTGCATACCGATGTGCACAACCACTGCCCCACCAGGGTTTTCTACTTCCATAAACAGCTAGTTCGGAAACCCACAGGAGCAGTTCTGCACTGTCCTACAGGGTTGCTCTGAGTCAGAACTGTCTCTAGCAATGAGTGACCCCAGTTCTAAGCAATAACTGATGTTGGCCTCGACTGGGCAAAAGCAGCAGGCATGAAGAGATTCTGGGAGGTCAAGGTGGAATTGACAAGCCTAGGTGGTACTAATAGAATCAGGTAAGGACTCCTACCCTAGCTTCCTCACTGGCTTGCCTACTTAATTCTTGCCCCCACCCCCACCTCTATCCCAAACGCACACACAGCCTAGCCCTATTGAGCATCATGCCACTTCCTAAGGTACAATTCTAAAATTACCTTTCTCTGTATTGCCGACACTCAGTTTCACATCTATTATTGTATATTTGATCCTGCCTACCCTATCTATGTCTGCCCCCACTACTCTTATTGAACTACTTTACTGCATTTCCTAGGAATCTGAGTGGCATTGTGGGTTGAGTTGAGCTGCTTGTTAACTGCAAGGTTGTCTCCCATATTTAGACTCAGAAACCCCACAGGGCAGTTTTACTCTATCGTATGTATAGTGTATACATAGGTATCCATTCGATGGTGGCAGTGAGTTTTGGTGTGAAACAGTTTCTTCTAGCCGCAGTGTACATCTGCCTGGAAAGGTTGCTTTCTTCCTTTCCCCACCTCCCAAGTGCTTCGTGCTTTCATGGCTCTGGAATTGGGTGCTTACATTTCTACTTCCATCCCTCGATTGAATTCCAGAAGGCAACAACAGACTCCCCCAGCTGATAGTAGACGCCTAAAGACGAATGAAGGCGGTTTTAACATCAGCGCTCCCCTCAATGTTAGCATGTGAAACGCATGGCAATCCTTATTTCACCTGATAAAATGCAAGAAACATGTCTAGCTTGCTCCAGAAACGTGAGTTGAGATTAAATCTGACTCGTGACCAATGCGCGAGGATGTGAATACTTAACAAGGCACGCTCCTAATATACATGGTAAAATGGAACTGAGGGCCGGCCCCCTTGGAGTATTACAGCCCCCCCCACCCCAAGTTGAGGGGCGGGGGGCGGGAAGCGCAGTGTGTCTGAGATCCCACCTTGTCCCTCCGGCTGACTGCTTCGCCACTGCGCACGCTCCTCTAAGGCATACATACTAGTGCTGGTCCAGAACCTCTCGGCTGTGCTGCGAGTACAACGGCCATTAAAATGCTGCGCTAGCCCAGAACCAGGAGTGTGCAGGCACAAGGGCCGTTTTCTGGAACAGGGAAAGAGGGCGGGAGGCCATCTCTCCACAAAGGGCTAAGGTATCCGAGCCTCCTTCCAAGCGCGGGCGCAAGTCAGGTAATCCCGACCCAAGGATTTCAGTCTTCCCGTTCCTGTTGCCGGGGCACAGCCCTGACAGCGGGGCTAGTGCGCACACGAAGCCGCCTCGTGAAAACCACGTCCCTTCTGGCCGCCGGCTCGGGCACTCTATGGTTCTCGTGGCGGCTCGGCTCTAATTCTAGTTCCGGTCTCTATGGCGGCGGTGGAGGCCGGAGCGGTTGTAGGTCGACCGAATTAGGCGCCTAAGAGCCAATGAGAATAGGCGAGTGAAAAAGCATTCGCCTATAGCAGGCAGGTACTGGGGTCAGGTGGCGGGATCGACAACAACGTTGGCCAATGAGCGGCGCGTGGGGCGGGTCGCTCGCAGGGTTTATCCCGCCTGTCCCGCCATTCTCGCTAGTTCGATCGGTAGCGGGAGCGGAGAGCGGACCCCAGAGAGCCCTGAGCAGCCCC